AGAGAGAGAGAGAGAGAGAGAGAGAGAGAGAGAGAGAGAGAGAGAGAAAGAATCGTAAAAATAAAACAAATAAATCTATAAATTACTCGAGTCGTATCTGTAATTCTCTCGAGTGATTTTCTTAGCAACGAGATATGCATTTACCCAGCGCTGTCTGTTTCCACTTTCGTTTCCGACTGACGACACCGCTTAAAAACAGCGCCTCATATCGCGCCAATTGCAGCCCGAATGGCCAAAGTATCGCAAGCGCGTTAAATAGAGCGAAGTATCGGGAACGCACGGAGGCGAGAACGCCGAATACTTCCACGGTATCGTTAGCACCCCCGAGTCCACCCTTGTTCACCGGCTCGCCGACGACCGCGGCGGCGAATCTCCCGACGTCGCGGTCGACTTAAGACGACGCCGTCGGCGTCCACCGGGGGCTCGAGCCCCCGACACGCTAGGTGGGGATTCGGCGTTCCACGTGGAGGCGGAGCGACGTCGCGCGTCGGGGTGCCGAACCGACGCGAGGGCGTCCAACCCCCGAGGCTCCTGGTGGGGAGCCGTGGCGAACGCAGTCCCCGACGGATCACCGAGACGGTGCAACGCGTTCCGCCGGCTTCGTCCGCTGCTCGGGCAAGTCGCTCGCCACGTGACCGCCACCATCAGGAGCGCGGGTGAAAAGCGCGTCGATCAGGTCTCCCCTCGACAGAGAGGCTCGCCAAGGCTCTGCATCAAGAAGCCCGTCCACGACCACGAGTCCCATCGTTCACTTGAAAATTCGGTGTCTCGAGGGGAGACAAAGACACGTCACGTGACTATGACAGAACGAGGCGGAAGGACTGTCGATTGCTCCTCGAGATCGAGCGTGATATCCTGAAGTGCGTCCCGAGGAGTTTGTAATTGGCGTTTGCGCGGTTAACTTCGCGGCTGGACACGTGAGCCCCGCGAGATTGGTGTACCTATGCTCGAGGTCGTCGTGTATGGTGCCGAAAGGTGGTGAACGTGTTGCCTAAGGTCATTAAGGGCGGTTCGTGATGTTTAGCCACCGTGGGAGAGTTTAGGTGTACGGATTATCGGGGATAGAGTACGTCCTGATAAGGTAAGACCTTTATCGCTACTACGATCCTTGAATCTTGTTTGTGAATACTTCAACAATGTCTTGAATGCCGCGCCGCTAATCTCCGCAGAGGATAGTTACGGGGGATGATTTTAGATCCATTACGACTCGCGCGATTTTATAACGAGATCAGGAGTCGTCGTTTCTGACCGTTTATATTCTCTTCCAATGGCCTAAAACTTGCAAGAAAATCCGAATCGACCAACTACACTTGATAATTTTGATCGGTTAAGTCGTTAGTCTTCGGAAGGGGTGATTATAGTAGATCTTAAATCGACTAGATTAGGAGTCGTCGTTTCTGACCTGTTCGTATTCTCGTTCAATTGCTTGACAACTTGAAGAAAATCCGAGTCGATCGACTGTCGTTAGTTTTTAGAGAGGGTGGCTATGGATCGATTTTAGATCGGCTATGGTTTGCGTGATTTTATAATAAGACTGATAATAAGATGACCTGTTCGTATTCTTCAATTCGTTCGTATCGTTCAATTGCCTAAAAATTTGAGGAAAATCCGAATCAATTGATCGATCTCAACATTTTTTATCAATTGGGTCGTTAGTCTTTAGAAGAGGTGGTTATGAGTCGATTTTAGATTGACATGGCTCGCGTGTTTTTACAATTTAATCAGAAGTCATTCCGTTTCTGACTGTTTATATTCTCGTTCAAACTAACCTCAATAATTTTATTCGGTTGGGTCGTTAGTCTTCAGAGTTATGAGTCAGTTTTATCGAGGGAGTTTTTGTTTTACGGTAGGTGAGAGAAGATTCGTTATTTTTGACTCGCTTTTCTGGCACTTATTTAAAAAAGTTCAACAGGACTTGAGTGAACTGACTGATCCTGTCAGCTTCGACAGTCCGTAATTAACCCCGACTAGGACGAAGGACGAAGATATCTTTGCAGCGAGTTATATTTGGAACGCTCTCTGTTACTGCATTTTAATGTTACCAATATCTACGAAAAGTTGCAATTAGTCCGCTATAAATCCGTGACACGGTTGCACATCAAATCGAGTGTGAGGGGAAAGTCCAGCAGGCTGCCGCTGCTTTTAACGTTGCTAATTACGCGCGCGTAGACTTCCGCAAGTGAACGGGCATAAGAGGTGTCACACGCGGCGGTAGAAATTTTCCGCGGTCCAATTTTCTCGCGCGGTAACTCGCAGAGGGCTGTATGTACATACATATGCGCGTACGTACATACGTATATACGTACATACATACATACATACATATATATGCACACACACACATACGTACATAGCCGACGTGTTCGCCCAGAATACGCGCCATCCGACCACGGAATTAATTCTTCACAAAGTTTGCGGCGGTGCGACGAGGCGGATCAACGCTGCGCGCGAGCCGTCGTCTCAAAGAGATCCACGAACAATTATCCCACACGTTTTTAAAAAACGGGAGCTACCGCGGCAGAAGCACTCTTCCTTTTTTCTTCCCGGACGCCTGCTCTCACGGTCGCGATATTCGTAGCCCGGAGCGAGGTGGGATCGTAAAATGTGACCGGATACGCCTGTCTCCGTCGCTTCGTGCCTCCCCCACGGAGAGAGCGACGGGAATAACGGCGGTCTACGTGATATCGTTTATTTCTGTATTCCTTTCTCGCTCCAGCCGCAGCACACGCTTCTCACGCGGAACTCTCACGCGCAGATTGCTGTCGGAGTCGTCGGAAGCGGATGTATCTTGCGATGTACGACTAATTTCGGACTCATATCACGCGTCACCCTTGACCCTCTACTTCTCTCTATTGGCCGGTAATCTCTAGCTCGATTGCTATTACCTCGAAGTAAACGATTGATGAGGAAATAGCATCGCGTGACAGTCCATCCCTGACCTTGCTTACGTGGCAATAGTAGAGACCTACTTTTTCTACTGGTTATATAGTGATAAACACATGTCCTATTTTCTTATTTCGTATTTTTATTCTTCATTTCTTTTATATTTTTATTTTTCTTTATTTTGTATCTTCCTTCCTGCTCGGAGAAGGGACAGTGTTTCAGAGGGTTTAATATATAGAGAGAATTTTATAATAAAAATTACTACAGAACTTTGTAATCGTAGAATAGATCGACATTCTAGTAGATGACTATCCTTTCATTTTATGTATGCTGTTTATATCTCAAGAACTGAAATTTTATTAAAATATTTGGTATGGTTTTACTGAAATTTATTTTGTAAAGAAAATTTAATTTAACAAAAACAGACTTTACTGGCAATCTACTTCTTAATAAACTTGATAAGTATTTATATATAAAAAAGACTTATAATATTCTCTCTCTGTGTATAAATATACATATATAACGCATTTATCTATTTATCTACCGTGTCTCTTCGTATCAACTATTCGATCCTTAATGAACACTCGACGGCTTTACTTTGTGGCAAAGGATGAATGAGACACTCGCGACGTGTAATACTACCCTTGACTCATTTACAAGCTTACATGCAACGGTAGAAGCATATTTTCTTGATTAATTACATGTGTAAAAACACACGTTGTCCGGCTTTTTTTCTTAATTTTGTATCTTAGTGCTTAAAAGGACAACGTCCTGAAACGTTGAATAAATAACGCATCTATCTATTCTAACCCTTCGTATACATTCTCCGGGCTCGATCGTTATCGTTTCAAGGCAAACGATAAAACTATAAATCAGAATTGTTTGCAAAAATAAAGAAAGCTGCGTCGAAGAATGACGCGTTCAACGGTCCGTGGGTGATTCAAACTAAAACACAGGACAGTCGCGAGAAAAATAGTGCGGTGCGAAAAACAGATCTCTATCGTGTTACTGCAAACTGTTCCATTAATCGTATCGCGTCGCTTGAGTAAACTATGATTATGTTAACTTTTCAGAGTGACAAACAGACGATACGCATGCATACAATGCGGGCTGTAATGAAACATTTCCCGAGCTCGTGATTATATTTTCGACTCGCTTTAAAGTAAGATGGCGCGATATGATGAAAAGTAGTTCGAATTACAAGCGGCAAGTTTAATTACTTTCAAATAAGCACGATATATTTTTGCCGCGCGATCCTCTCCTCCCCCCTTCTTCTTCGAATTTTCCCACGAAGCACGCGAAACAGAAAGAAGAAGGCGAAAGCGTCCGAGTTACCTCCGCCGTTCCGCCGAGACTCGCATTTTCCAATAATTATGGAGAGAACCCGTGCCTCTGGCCGCCAACCTTAATCAAGCCATTTATCATTTGAATATTAATTCATTGTTTCTCTCGCGCGGGGAAAGTGCGCTTTCCTTTTGATTGATTCTGCCGGGCCGGCATCGCAAGCGAGGCTATCAGTGCAGAGGCCGTTGAATCTTTAACGGTAAACATACTTGTTTTTCTCACTCGTTTTCTTCCGGACGAGCTGCGCTGATACGGCGCAGTGTGGCAGCCACCGATGCGATTTCGTCGCGGTCGTTTTGCCGTCGAGACCTCTCGCTTCTCGCGATACACCGCGTTGCTATTTGCATACGTCTATCAACGCAATTTCTCCCGGAGAAACTTTTGTTTATAATTATATACCCTAGCTATATTGCGTTATCTCCTCCCTCTCTTTCTCACTTTCTATCTATCTTTTCATTATTAATGTCATAACAAATTTGTGAATCGAAATAAAATACTTGAGAGTTACAGTTGCCACAAGACGTTACTATGGGAAAGTCACATCACAAAACTTTTATTCTTCATTATACACATAAAACATTGTATATTTCTATAAAATAACCTTGTTATAACCATTACTTTGCTATACAAATATGGCTTCTTTTTGCACATTTACTTTGTACTGGAGGGGACTTAGTCCCTTTATAACGCCTAATAAGTTATTCTTCTTCTTCTTGAGCTGCGTGACGAGAAGATGCGCACTCGCTTGCGATACCGTGAATAGCACTGAGCACATAACACGCGCGTTTTCGCGTATCTCGCGCGCGAAATTATGGAAATAGCGCTGCTGAAAAACTTCCCTAAAATCCAACCGCGTTTGTTTCCTAAACGCTTTTAAATAACATATCTTTTTAGCGAATAATATACTTTAGTTTATTCACCATATGTATTTTCCAGACTGTTCAAGAGGCGTATTTTCAGTGGCGTATCAAGGGATCACGTATTTATAAATTCACTGTTTATCAAATAAAATTACGTTTTCACATATTTGTTTCACTATCTAAATAATTGATGTTAATCTGAAATTGATTTTACGATATTACGTTGCCACGTTTTACATCGAGAAAGAAATGTTCCTGGTATTTGTACATATAACCGTGTGTGTAAGCACATAGAAAAAAATAATTATTATAAGTTATGAACAAGAGAACTATTTTTTCATTAAATTGTAATATAATGCTGGTAATAGTAATCTTATATGCATATCACTATTTTCTTGTTAGAATAAAAATTATAAAATAATTCTCTTTTCTCTCTCTCTCTCTTCTCTCTCTCTCTCTCTCTCTCTCTATATATATATATATATATATATATATAGTTTTAGCTAGATCAATCATATTTTTTCTGTCAATACAGCACAATGTCACTCAAAACACACAACAACAGTATTCTGGCCTATAATCGACCATTACAAAAATTATCTTTCTTCTGTGTGTGGCATTTTCTAATATATAATATTTATAACGGTAAATGTTTGATTTGAATAATATTGCTTCTTACGAAGATACATTAAGTAGAATCGTCATCTACATCGCTTCTACCATAAGGTTTGTGGTATTCAATATTAAATTTCTCACGTAAATTCCAATCGCAAATCTTTAACTGCGTATTTGTTTTATCGCGCGCGCGATAAGTGTTATGTCAAATTTTTGTTTTGTCAGATTTTGTTTTAAGTACCTCGGTTTAGCTGAATAAACTCCTTAGTCCGAACGGAAACTCCCTCCCCTTCGCCGCGTGTCCTCCCCGCCGCGATGGAGTTTATCATTATTCCGCTGCGAGGTGCAGAATTATCGGCCGAGTTAAAAGTTCACCACC